CATGCACTTTCCTTATACCAGGCCTGCAAATCCCCCCGGCTTCACGACATAGTCTGCACTGCATCCCTTCCAGGACGATTGCCTTCAGTTCCGCGAGGAAATAGTATGGCGGTCCCCCCCTACTGACGGGCCACCTCCCGGAGGAGGGCCGTGGTCAAGGGGTCCCGTGAAGCGCAAACCCCTCGGGCATCTTAAACAAAATGAGCTGCGGCGTGTGACTCAAGCACCGCTGGGGTTAACGCTCCGGCTCCCCGGAGGGCACAACCTCCGGTGAACCTTCGCGCTCCCCCCCGATGCCAAGAGGCGGTACAGGCCCCTCAGCAAAGGTGCAGCACTTGAGCCAAAATTCTCTCGCTCTCTCTCTCTCTCTCTCTCTTTCTCTCTCTCTCTCTCTCTCTTGCTTGCAAGCAGCCAGAGGTAGGTCAAGACCCACCCCGCGCACGAGTGCGCACTGGTATGGGTTCGTGGTGAAATTGCTCCCCCCGGTCTCTCTCTCTCTCTCTCTCTCTCTCTCTCTCTCTTCTTCTGCAGGGCTTGAAGGGCGTGTCAAGCCCCCCGGCCACATGGGCCCCCCATGTGTTATGGGGCTTGTGGAGAGGCGTGACAAGATAGCGAGTTCCCCAGAAATGCAACGAAAGTGTATTGGCCTCTAAACTCTCTCTCTCTCTCTCTCTCTGTCTCTCCCTCCTTCTCTTTTCTTTCGCCAGGGCTAGGGTGTAGGGCATTACCCCCTACACCGTGCGCTCATGCGCCCCCGACAGTTGCGGAGGGCAATGGGGCAAAACGCAAACCACGGCAGTCGGGCGCCCAAAAAGGAAAAGGCGACTCCGGCTATGAAGCAAGAGCGACTGATAAGAGGCAAAAGTGATTATGTTATGTGTGGTACAGAGCTGAGATGGCAGGCGGTCCATAGCCTTCGAATCAGGGGTATTCCCCGATGCTTTGTGGCTCGCGGATTCGTTGCCCAGGTTTCGGCAGGGAACAAGTACATGGGTGACCTAGAATGTAATACACACGGGAACCCTCCCTGTCTCTCTCTCTCTCTCTCTTCCGGGCTTGGGGATCACGGCAGCGTCCAGGCCGATCACCCCGTGCGCGCATGCACACCCGCTTCTCGCGGGAGGTCTTACCCTTTCAAGGGATTTTCCCCTGAAGGCTCGACTGTACTTGCGGTTCGGCACAGTTCCCGGTGGATATTTTGCGTCCACGGGCTCGGCTTTACAGCACCGAAAAGATCCCCCGGCAGAAGTCACGTCAAGGAGTATGAGTAAACACATTCAATTTCTGCCAGTGGGGGACGGGAGAAAAAAAACATGCACCCCCGTTACTTCGAACGGGTATCACCGAACGGCTTGGATTCGCTTTGCGTTGAATTATGCCTCCATCCCCCCTCCGAATTCCCTAGAGCTCAAGTCGTGTTGAAAAGAAGCCTAGATTGTGCGATTCGATCGCGGGGCTTAACGAAGCCAGAGAAGTTCAAGGTTTCCACGGGTGGGGCCAGTGGCCCATTTAAAGAGTTCACTACCTGAGTCTGCCGTTGTCTACTTTGTGTTGTAACGGGACAACTGGGAGTCAGGGAACCTAAATCCCCCAACAACTGCACTGCATCGAATTTTTTGTTCCGCAGGCTCCTCCGTAGGGCTCAGTGCAACTCGGTGCTCATGAAGACTCTTCCCTGCGTTGGGCCATGTAGGCTTGTACCTAGCTGCGGGTGCACTAAGTTGCCCGGCAGGGTCTTCAGGGTCGTTGGTCTCGTCGGTCTGGTTCTGTCCCCCGGTCGCTGGGTTGGCTTCCCCCACAGGTTGGGTGTCACGCTCCGTTGTTCTGGATTTGTGGGTCTTTGTGGTCCTGCTGCTCTGTGGCTTCTCTTCCCCCCGTCGGACTTTGACATCCCGACCGCTCTTTCAACGCCCCCTGCATGTCTGCACAAGCGACACTGCTCCGTCATGGGCCGTCACAGCCCCCAAGAAGCCAGGAGGATCACCTTGTGTTCCGCGGCGGAATAGTATGGCCTTCCCCCCTACTGGCGGGCCACCCTCGAAAGGGGCCGCGGTCAGGGATCAGGCAGAGCGAACGGACGACGGGGCCACTTAAGCACACGGCTGCGGATATGAAGCTCAAGCACCACAGGAAAGGCAGGAAGGCTCCCCTGGAGTTACAGTCCAGGTTAACCCCCTGCCTCCCCCCGATGCCCAGGGGCGGCACAGGCCCCCAAGCAAAGGTGTAGCACTTGAGCCAAAATAACCCTCCCTGTCTCTCTCTCTCTCTCTCTCTCTCTCGCTCTCCCTCTCATTCTCTAGGGACCCTAGCCCCAACAGAAGAGTGCAGAGTCACAGCCGCGGGACCGTGCAGCACACCACCCCACATGCGAGGACCTACTGGTCTTGAAATTCGGTCTGACACTTGTTTTTGGGGATGAGGTCTGGCCTTGCACACTTCCAATCCCCAACCCTCGACACTAGTATCAAACAAACCCAGGCCTTTGTACTCTCTGTCTCTCTCTCTCTCTCTCTCTCTCTCTCTCTCTCTCCGTGGTCCTCCACGGCCTGGGTCACCACCTCGGAAGGCGTTGGCGGCATAGGCTGCACTTGGTCTCCGACAAAATCTCCTCTGATTCGGAGTCTTGTCAGGGGCCCTGACGTGCCACTGACGCGGGGGAACGGGCAAGCGTCCCCCTGCCTGGCAGAACCCTTTGCACCCACACTTTCATCATTCCAGCTTCGTGCCTCTTCAGGAAGCACACGAGGCCTTGAAAGCACCTCGGATTCCAGGTCACTAGGCACGGCACAAACTTGCAGCATCACAAGTTTGAGGGGCCCTTCCCGGGGCCTTAAGTTTCTGCGATCACAGATGAATGTACTAATCTGGAATGCTTAGCCTCCCGGCTCTACTGAAGACATCCTCTGCCTGACACACGCAGAAAGGGCTTTGAGAAGTGACTGCCTAAGCTTCAAATCTTCGAGTCCACTCCCCTGCCTCTGCGGTGTCGATCCCCATGCTAGAAGGATCAGCAGACCAGTCTCGGTCGACCACGCCGTGAGGCTATGACAGTAGCACGGCAAGCTTACAGCAAAAACGAAATAGGGAACGGACTGTCACCGGCTTGATACAGTCTCCACAAAGTGTCGGAAATCCATGCCTTCATGCAGCATGGATTCATCAAAGCATGGTACAAGCACGGTGCACACAGTGTAAGATGCGAGATAGTCCCTCCCTTCCCGTATCTGCCGCGCCCTCACGAAGTGGGTGCGACGATCCTGGCACGCCGAGTCTACGTCAGGAGTCCGCGGCTGGCACGCCCCGTCTACCCAAGCACAAGCACGAGCCTCGGGCCGATCAGGTGCCTCACAGAGAGAATGTGCCCAGACGTTACTCTACGAACTACGAAACCTTCCACGAACCTCCAACCTTCGGCCGTCTTCTGTTACACAGGTCGGAATCGTGCCTTGTCGTCCCTCCGCAGCTCCGCAAGCGCCTAGATTGGCCCCAAGAGCATTCGCCCCATTCAGGGCCACAGTGGCATTGGGAGCCCGGCGGTGCTCCATGTGCGCTTCATGAACCCGTACATCTTCTTGGCCATCTGCACAGCAAGATAGCACACACGATTGCATGGCTCTGTCGCGGAAGTATAGCGACGATCAGGAGTCGTGCTGTCTAAGCTCTGTCTTCTGCCGATCTGCTGCAAGTAAAGCGTTGCATCTCAAGGTCCAGATCCGATCATCGAAAACCATTAACGTCGGCAGGCAGACCGCCGGCGGAAGTCTCTGTGAAGCCTGCCAAGGCATTCTCCGCAGAGGCTAAACCACAGGAGTCAAAGGCGGATCTGTGGGCCTGCCACACAGCACTTTCCAACTCTGGGTTGGTATCCCAGTCCTCAGAACCGGGCTGGCAAGTGCAGTCTTTTTGCACCTGCTAAGGCCGATCGAAGGCTCCATGGAAGACAATGCGTCGTCAGAGGCTCGCGCCGAGTTTGGCGGCATCACGACCTTCGGTTGAGGACTACATGGCTGCTACATTGAGCTGGTGGTGTTGAAGCGATGCAGGCTGCTAGGCTTTTGGGCAACAGCATCCCACTACATGTCGGCGTGCCTCCGACGCCTCTCAGCTTGGCATGTACCACAACTGCAGACGCCGTGACGACCATCTTGGGTAGCCGTCATGGATTCTATCCAGAAACATCGAAACGCTGGAGGTTGTTAAACGCTGCGACTAAGCTCTTGCACCGGGGAGGTCTGAGTCTGCGGAGGTTCGGCATTGGCTATCTGAAGAGAGTGTTGTGCTGATCCGAAAGCAGGTCTGGAAAGCCATCTCTGCGGCCCGTGTCTGCATCATGTTGGCTGTCGGATTGGGCCACACAGCTTGAGCAGATCGATCAGCACTCGTTCGGGTTTTCAAAGCTGCCATTAATTTGCACATTAAGCCGGGTGGCGACCTTCTTACATCCTGTCCGACCTCCATGCGACAAAGCGTTCGAGCCTGTTTTTGCTGGCAGACTGATGGCATGTCTTTGGCCAGCTGCCAGCGCAGCGGGTTGAACCTGCTAAGCGCTGTGCAAGTTCGTGAAACGGTGGCGGTCACTGGAAGGAGATACCTGGTCGGGGTTGGCTGAAGAAGTGATAAACACACATGCATGAGAGACCGTGCTACGCTTCCGTGCAACCCCTGATTGACACACTCGGACTATTTTCGGTCTACTTGCTACTTGCCAGGAAGTTGCTACCGTCGATAATCAATGGCCGCAGGGGGAGAATGTCAACCTTCCGGGCATCAGAAGCAGCAGAAGCAGCAAATCACGCTGACAAGAACCTGCTTACACGTCAGCTGCGCCGGGACTGGGCAACACAACATTGAACGTGAAGATGCCTGCCTGTGCAACCATAGTTACCCGACTTTCAGCAGGATTTTTGCCGAGCGTTCGGGTGGAGATTCTTTGCGACGCCCAACCATAAGTCTTCTAGTCGCATCGACAAGCCCTGTAAAACGCTTCGACCTGTCGATCCTCAGCAATAATCAGCCTGCTTCTCACAGTTGTCCACGAGGCTCTGTAACCTTGCATTGACTGAGAATGCCACTGCGTCTGTGACAATAGGTTCACCAGAGTGCATGCCGGGGATCCTCCTTGCTTTGCTCTGGATCTCAGGAGGAAGGCGAATAGCCGAGCCAGCCCCTCGCGATGGGCAGAAAGTGGGGTGCTTTGCATCCCAGCCCCTTCAAGGAACTCAGGAGCATCAAGATCAGACTCGGGTCGCCTGCCAATCGCAGCCTCAGTACAGCACGAGGCAATGATCATGAGTCTGAAACTGCTGCGAATGTGCCCTGAACTTCGTTCGATGCCGAGCAGCGCCTCGAGTATCCGCGTGACTAGGAAGCAGCTCGGGTTGTGTGCGAGCCGCAAGGAAGTAAGCCATTCCCAGAGCTCCTCCCCCGAAACCGTTCCGCCCGTTCCGCGCGCGAGACGAGTCCGAGGGGGGGGGGGACTTGGACTTTTGGATGCCAGGCCTCCAGGCCAGAGAAGAGTGCAGCAGCCATTTCAACCCGCCGGGCACCCAGCGGGGCATAACCTCCGCAAGTTGGAAGCACATGTTCAGGCTTCTTGGTTTCACGACAAACGTCCGAAGGCAAGCACTCATTCGTGAGATGTAAAGGTCGACCACCAGCAGCCGAGCCCAGTGTACCTGAACGGGCTTGTGCAAGTGCAGCACCCGACGTAGCCAAAGCTTGATAGGCAAATCACGGATTCTGGTGCAAGCTAGCGACTGTCCAGTGCTGCGGGCCCAGCACCAATGACACTGTGGCCGCTAGCTCCAGTGCACGGCGCACAAAGCTGCGCTTCACCTATAGCACTACACACATGCTACACATGCCTAGTGAGAGTGAGGGCTCTTCCGCCAAGTCACCATCTTTAGGGTCTGCCCCGACCCTCGCAGTCCGCCCTGCACGGAACCGAGCGCCGGAGTCATAGATGGAGAAAAGAACCTCAAGCCGCACTTCACAGTCGACAGGTTCTCAACTCATGCTTTTGACGGCAAGCGAAGGCGACAAAGGGAAGACCAGTTCTGAGTCTCGTCTCAACTGACGATCCCATCCACGACAGGCGACGTCTTCTCTGCGAGCCTTCCCAGCAGCGGCTCCACAGACTGTAACTCCTCCTTGCGAGGAGAACAGAACGTTCTTTCAGAGCTTGCATTGCGCCCTTGCAAAGGCCAGCGGTACGGGTGATCCTCGTTCTTCGGCGGCCGTCCGCACTTCGGGCATCTCCTGCAAGTATGAAGGTGCGTGTCAAGGTGGGTATCTCGTCATTTCAGACTCAAATTCAGTTCCCACACCTAACGGTGTCCAGGCATACCACTCACACTGCACAAGTTGGAAACTTGTCGGCTTTTCTCTGACATGCTTGCTCCTCTGACTTTGCCAACACCCTTCCAAAGCCGCGACGAGCGACCACAGGGAGAATGAAACGGTCAAGCAAGGATCTAGTTCTCATGAAAGGAGCCACAAAACAGCACGGTGAATCTCCGCCACAAAGCTCTGACAGCAATGTCAAAAGTGGCGGGCACTCATGTGGGGTGTGTGGTGAGACTGCATGCAGCTCTCGCCGATGTTGCGATCCGACAAACAATGGCATCACCGACAAACCTGTGGCTGTGTCAAGACGGCTCACCTTCAATGTGCTCGGGGTTTGTCCAGGCAGCCCTCTCGACACAACAAACAGCCAACAGCCTTAAGCGTACTACAACCACCTGAAGATCACCAGAACAACGCCACTATCAACCGGTCCAGCTCTTCCCGTCGAAAGCGGCCAACGGCACATCTGAGCCTTCAAGCTTTTCGGAACGGTGCTAGGCACAAGAAGCAGAGCAATGGAGCAGTGGAGCCCCTCCTTCGAAGGCTGCCGTCGGAAGCTCCAGCCCTCCTGCCGAATCCAAGGGAGGCGATGCGGATTCCTCTCTCGGGCCAAGGCTCGGGCGCGGCATCCCGTCGAGAGCGTTCCGGGCCACGGCATCCTTTCGCCGCGACGCCGCTGCGCAGGTAACGGGAAGCTTCGAGAGCTTCGAGTCGAATGGAACGCTCCTCCTCGTCTTCCTCTTCTGGAGACACCGGATTCTGCTCATCTGCGGGCAGTAACCTCGGACAAGGCAATGTGCCAGAAGAATCACAGCGTCCTGCCTACAATAAAATCTTCCGAGGAACATGAGAGATGCCAGGTCCCAGAAAGCCCTTCCAGGACTCCTCGATGCAAGTAAACCCCTACTCATTGGACTCAGGCATGGACCCAGGACACGAACAGATGTCGAACAGATGTCCACCCACCAGTTCATGAAGTTGCGATCACTGTAACCAAGGTTCCATGCGACTGCCGCTCCGTCGAAACCATCACTGGCCTTGCCGGCTCATGATGTCAGACATTGTTGGTGATCTATCTGTGTCTAGACATTGTATGATTCGTGTGACTCCCGAGCTTGCTTGTCCATGCAAACGACACGGCATCATTTCTGCCCAGCCCCTCCATGGAGCCTGTCGCCCACCCTCAGAGATCTGCACGCAAAGCCTTGTTCGAGAAGGGCAGCTCTGGGCGAAGGCCATGCTACAGTAGTGGTTCTCGCAACACAAAGCAGGAAATGTCTGTGGCCGTGCGCCGGACATGCGGTTGATCGAAGGTGCCAGATTCCGGCCATCGGTGAGAACCCAGCCGGTGTCCTCTTGAACCAGAGGAATACAATCATAAACACCGCCCCCGGCCGGGCCCCCGCCATGTCCTTGACGTCAGAGCCCGGATCTGGGCAGGCCTCCATGCAAAGGCGGGAGGCCAGGGGCCACATGTTGGCCACCACCGGGTTGAGCTCTGGCTCTGGCGAGGCCTCCACGAGGATCCAGCCAGAGGGGGGGCCCTCCTCCCCCTCCTCGTCCTGCAAAGGAAGCGCCTGCCGCGGTTTTTGACTCAGGGCAAGGCAGAGTTTGGCAAAGGTGGAGTCCCTGCTCAGGCTTGGAGGCGCTGCAAGGCGGTCTCTCTGAATCGAAATCCTGGGTTCTTACCACCATGACTAAGTCACGACAACACCCCGATTAAGTCAGCACGACAGCCTTTCTAAAAGGAAGATCCTGAGCATGTGAAGGGGTGGCCACAAAGGGTCTTCTGTTTCATAGCCCAGAACACTGCGAATTCATCAAGGGGCCTGGTGTGCAATCCATCGCTCGACTCCCACAGGCTAGGCCTGTTCTTCAATTTATATGGCAATGCGTAGAAGCTCCGCAGTGGTGCCTTCAAACGCGTGCCCGTTTTCAGAAAGCATCTCTGAAGAGAGTCGACGCCTGGCCACTTGCAGGAAGGCGACTGCCACACTCAAGTCGTACTCTGGAAATAATCTCCGTTGTGGCCCTCCGGGCTCCACACTGGGGGAGCTTCGGAGCCAAATCCCTGGCGAGTGCAGAACCTCCGCAGGAGAAGACTGTGCTTTGATAGCAGGAAGACGACAAACCGTTCCGCATGCTAGTCCTGCTGTCATGCCGGTAGGTCTTCAAGACTTACTGTATTGTACTCCTGCAGATGGAGCATTACTCGCGCGATTGATCTGTGAAACCATGTGAGTCTCAAAATCAATCATGTACACAATCAGAAATCATGTTACTATTGCGACACGCACCCCATCGCAAAGACCTGAAACGACGATGCGGAAAGATTTCCCTCGGCCTGCTGCCTAGGGCATCCCCCATGCGAGGATGGGTTCGTCTTCGACATTAGGTCGATCTAAGAAAACTTGTCAACGTCAAGGCGGCAATTGAAAAGGTGTTGATGGTGCAATGAAACACAAAAGTTGCACGAGGTCTGCCTCCCATCGCTGTCGCTGCTCTGCGCAGCGCTTGCAGGCAATTGCCCGAAGTGGATCATCCTGGAGCTCTGCTGGTACCCAACCAACCTCCCCACTACTCTTCCTCTTCTGCCTCTACACATAGCTGCCGCATGGAGCTCCTCTGCAGCACAGCGCTCACAATCGCACTCAAAGCATTTTGACCGCCACAGATGGCGGCGGCGAAGTTCAATGGGCAGGAGAAGCCTTACACCAAACTCACGGCACAACGAAAAATCTGAAGCACAACGAGCAGTTGCTCGAAAAGCACACAGGGTTCTCAGGGGATGTCTTGATTTGGTGTGAGCAGCTCTGTCATCCTGGTGTAACAAGACTGTCCTTCTCACTCCTTCACTAAACCAAACATACGTATCAAATCGTTTGACCTAATGCTCTGCCTGTATGGTAAAAAGCTTTGCCTCCCATTCTTGCCACGGTTGCCACATCATCTAATCTAATAATTGCTGGTGACGGTCTATTATCGTCTCTTTCATCATTGTCATCGTCTTTTTCGGACGGTGGAACAGAACCATGAGGTGTCTCATTTTCTCTTACAACAATTGTCCGTGTCATTTTGTTTCTTCTGTTTTTTCCATTTAACTCTGATAGCCTTTAACTGTACTATCATATATCATATAACCATTCAACCCCTTCCAGTTCTGGAAAATCTGCCTGCATCCTTTTATTAGCAGTTGCATCAAAATCATAACCCCCTGCGTTCAAATAGTTCTTAGTCATACCTAAAATACACAATTCCTCATCTTTAGCATTGGTCTTTCTTCTCGTTCCTTTTGGTAGTTTATCTCATACTACATTTAATCTTCTCTTCAGTTTGTAATGTCTGTTAGAAAAATTTTTAGATTCCAGACGCTCTGTTTGATAACATTTCATGCTACTGTTTTCGCTCCTTCTTCTCCTTCTGCTACGCTTGAGGAGAAACTTTGACTTTTGTTTTTGCTTCTCGTTCAAAATGCCCATTCACGCCTGCGTTGTTCAAACATTTCATCAGAAACTGGGTCACTCCATCCGCCCTGCACTAGATTCGCATCATCCTGATCATGGATTCTCCACGGTTGCGCTCATTCAACATCTGCAGATGTAAACCCGTGATTCCATCATCCAGTGCCAGTCAAGACAAGCCAAGCGGCTCACGGCCCAGATAGCTGTGAAGAAGCCTAACATTGGCCGACATGTGGCAGTAGAAAAGCAAGATTTGCAACACTCTGAAATCTGGAGAAACGAACGAACACAAGAACAGTGCAATTTCAAAAGCTTTTTCGAGATCTCCTTTGCAGCTAAGCCACTCTTGCCCAGCCTGAATTGGCTTCAGTGATCGGAAATGCCTCTACGTGATAGCAGCAGGCAACATGCTTTCCACCTACCACCCAAACGGACAAGGCCAAAGTTTGCCTGTACATGCAGCACACTCAGCGGACAACATGCTTCGAAGATGTGAAGATGACTCCATCTCTGCCGCTGCGAAAGTCGCACGGCTTTACGACTGCCCGTGCGTTCCCCGCGTCCGGCCTTTTCCCGCTGACGAAAACGACGTTCGGAAAGCAGCCTTGTCGAGAAATCTGTGTGAGAGACTAGCATTGCATACACAAGGCCAGCCACAGTCAAGCATATATGTGCTAAGAGCAGCTTCACGATTCTTCCGATCTCCCTACTGATCGCCTAGCAAGACCTAGCAGCCGTCAGCTGGAAGTAACACTGATTCCGGCAGTCGAAGAGAACTCATCAAGATGTCCCAGTTGCTGTGGTTCAGCCGGCTGATGGTGAGGAAACAGCTCCTTTGTCTGGATCAGGTCAAAGTATTACACACACGTTCAGGATTGGGGAGCCACTGAGCCCCCGTTCCGTCCGGTGCGGCCCAGACACTCGCCTGTAAAAATGTTCATCTCGATGGCTAGGATCGCTCTCCTTGGGGGTAGAACGACCACGCAAGGGCGACTCAGACGCAGATTTCAATCTGTCAAGACACTGCAGCACCGCTTCGACCTCCGCACATTCGGGCACAGTGCGGGCGCACAAGGCTGCAACTTCTCCAGCAATTGACCTGGAAGCTCGCAGATTAAGATCTCCATGCAAGCAGATCGTCATAAGCCTATCAACTACCCAACTTGATGAAAAGTTGAAAGTGGGGCATCAACGCCACTGAGAGTAGAGCACGATAGGGTGTGCGAGATCGAGTCTCGGGTGGTGCAACTCCAGGATCATCCTGAGCAAAGGCTTGAAGACGCACAGAAAGCATCACACCGTGCACGAAACTTCTATCCCCTCTCAAGATTGCTGTGCATTCTCTTTGTCCCAGTGTCTGCTGGACGAGACGGCTCGAGGATGCAAATGCCACGGCGCTGCGAAGCCTAGGATTTCATGCCAAGACGGCTTGAGCGCTTGCAAAGTTGGCCATCGTCTCGGAAACTGCAAACACTCAATCCCGACTGTGAGACTCCAACTTCCGGCCCACACACAGGCTGCAGATGCTCGCAGCTACACCCGAAGCCGCAAACCGTAACCTCAACCCAGAACCACAGCTCTGGAGTCTTGAAATTGCCTTCGGTGCCTGATATCTCAAACCGGCACAATCTCCGGAAGTCCACCTGTCCTGGAAGCTCAGTCCCACAAACCATGACTCGAAGCATGGAAGGGGAGGCGAAGACGAAGCTCTGAAGCGTTCCGGAGTTGCCCGGAAGCATCAAAGGCGCCTTGATCTTCTCCTGAAAGAATCTCTCGCCCAACAGCTATGCCGTTCTGCCGTGCCAACTACCACAGCGGCCAAGTCACATACTGCTTCTGGAAAGTCTTCGAAAACAGTTTATGGTACCTCAGATGCATTCACATGCTAGGTGAAGTCTGAAGGAGGACCAAAACAGCCGAAACAAGGCCGTCCGTCCCGGCCGCGGTGCTTCTTGAGCTGCCCAAAGCTTGGGCGGCTGAAGAAAGGCCGGTCCTCGAGCACAGCCACTCCTTCGGAGAGATCGATCATGGCATGGTCGAATCATGGGCACAAAAAATCGAAGCATTGTGTCATTGTGGTTAAAGCGACAGGCGACCCTGGTCGAAGTCTTTCGTAGCGAACAGGGAGAGTCCGCGGCCGGGAACACCTGAACTTTTGGTGAAGGTCAAACTCTTTCTGCCAGCTTGAACGTGCTTCCAATGCGGCGAGTCACGACGGATCTGTGTCCCCTGCTCCACATCTGCAGCAGCATCCAAGGGTGCCAGGAGGGTACCTCGGACTGGTTGTCTCCAAGAACCAAGCCCGCCCCGACCAGAGATCTAAGTCACACGTCGCAGCAGCGTCCCACCTCCGTCAATCAACCTCTCTTGCTTACGCGCTAAGCGTGTGGGATACGTTTGTTCGGTTCACCCCCACGTATTGACAAGGACTGAGGTCGGCCGTTGCCCCATTTGCGTTCCTGCGCCATCCGTCTCTCTCTCTCTCTCTCTCTCTCTCTCGCTCGAGGCGCACCAAGCCCCAGTGAGTCGCCGGATGTGAGAATCCAGGCCATCCTGCACATGCCGTTTAGCCGCTGACCCAAAGCATCGGGTTGCCGTCCCACACCTGCCTCTCTGGCAATTCTTGAAGCTGAGCGACACCTGCCAGCAAGCCGCACCGAAATCAGAGGAAGCCTTGTCGACGAACCATGACGCCTAGGGCCTAGGGGCGTGATGCGAACTGCAACTCCCGTCTGCTGTGAAAGCCCGAATCCAGGACAACAACACCCGACATCAGAGGAGGATCTCAGAGTGGCAAGGATACGACATGATACACAGTCGTGAGATCTCATGTCACATCACACATACAGATAGATCGGCCTCCACATTCGATGCGCACATAACCAGACTTGTGGCCCAGGCGCATCCTACAAAGCACATTGACAAAACACAACGCAAAGAAGAGAAGGCATGCTTTACATGATTAGTCAGTTTTACCATTTGGAAAGAAGCTCACACTAATCAAACCAAACAAACGGCATGCACGCAATGTTCACCATTTGTTCGAGCTTAACCGCACCGCCGTCCTCTAACTGTCTTCAAGTAGCTGTGCTGTATAACGAGGAAAACTCCAATCGAAATATGAAAAAGGTAAGTGAAAAAGCGCAAACAACAGCACACACGCTTGCTCGCAAGAGCCCCAGCTAGATTAGATATGAACTTAACTACGCTTCCACGTTGTGTTTCGTTGATTATTTACTTGGCCATTTGTTCCGCTCACACGGTTCGCTCATAACAGCAAAGTGAAGTGAACAAAATGATCGTGACGCACGTGTTTTGCTTAATTCAATGAAGATGAAAGAACGAATAGCCGTATGCTGTGTTTAACAGATTAACTAATCAATCAAACACGGAAACACGTATCTGACCTCCTTCTTTGCTCTAAGTCACCTGTGCCTCTCGTTGCATTTCGGTCTGAGACCCAGTGCAAAGCATGACATTGCAGCGGGTCCAGGTACCCTCTCCCTCTCGCCAGCCGATCAGCGGCCCAGCTCTCTGAGGAATGTCCTGCGCCCAAGCAAAAGCCACAGCAAGCAACGACTATAGCCCGGCAAGTTGTGCTGTAAAGCTCTGTCACATGGCACACATGCTTAAACAGACCGCTTTATGCAAGGATAGTCATTTTCACGCCCTTGCGGACGGGACGGCCAGCTGGCCTTGTACTTGGTGCTGTCATCCTTGCCGGACTCGGACTGCAGACTTCCCAGTTTTGACAGAGCAGGTTGTGCGATGTGCCGGCCTGGCTCCGGCACAGCGCTACCTCCGCAGAGTCCCAAGAACAACAAGCACAGACGCAACGAGAGCAGACCACAGTGCAGTGCTGGAGGGAATGCGGCATTCTGCGCTTTGTATGGAACGACGGCCTGGTGAACTAAGATGCGCCACTCTCGCGGAGCATGCTCGGCCATTGACCTCACCGTCGCACTTGGACTTGCTTCCTGTGAAACTCACACTGTCCATCGAAAAACACAAAGCCAGGCAATGGAAAACAAGCCAAGTGCCTGGCCCACCGACTGCTTCGTTTAAGCGCATACAAATCCACCTCGGAGTTCCCACCCACAGAGCGTATACCTGCCCTGTTCCGTCAACCACTTCGCCGTGCAAGATGGTGCTCTTGTTCGAGTAAATCAGAGGCCCCAACGATTCGCCAGCAATGTCGCGATGACAACCCCGAACCAAACGGCCACGAACCAGCACCTTGGTCCAGACTCGAGCGTCCGGCTACGTTCCAACGTCACGTGCATGGCATGGGTAGAGCTCTCACGCTACGGTTCATGGATGTTCATGGCTGCTTTGCCGGCTTCACAGCTGGATCCTCCCAGTCAGCCAAGGATCTCCCAATGCCTGGCAGGAGCAGAGAGAAGCAGTAAGCTCTCCACAAACATCTTTCCGATTTTCAGCACTGCGCACTGCTGAGGAGAAAAGGGTGGCACCGTCGTTCCTCTCTCTCCCTTGAGAGTCAGGGTCCCACCCCCTTCTGCGCGAGGGCGCGCCGTTGCCCGATGCTTCTCTCCCTTGTTTGTGGCTTAAGGGGCAGTAGTGAGCGCATCCTGGAGCGCAAACCGGAACTGTGCTGCAAGTCTTGGCACTTCCTTTCGTATCCCGGTGGCCAGCTCGGCGCTACGAGACAAACCGTGCAGGGCCAGCCCCAGGGCTTAAATTGCAGCATGACATCGAGGCTCGGCTTAGGCCACAACACAATTCCCCCCTCTGTTCCCCCCGCCCCTCCCTCCGTCTCCCTCTCTCTCTGTATCTTTTTTTTTCTTTCTGCTGGGCTTAGGGGTCCCGCGAGACCCTCAGGCCTTAGGCCCGCCCAACCCCCCCACTGTGTTAGTGAGTGGTTGGCATTGGGGTCTGTATCTCTCTCTCTCTCTCTCTCTTTCTCTCCCTCTGTCTCTTCCTCAGCAGAGTTAAAAGAGCACTCCCTGCACGAAACCACGCCCTGGTTGCTGTTCGGCCCTGGTGAAAGACTGAGCACTCTCTCTTTCTTTCGTAGGCCACTAGCGTGTAGGGGCTTCACCAAGCTCTCTCTCTCCCTCTCTCCCTCTCTGTCTCTGAAGGCAAGGACAGCCCCTTCCATGCGCTCAAGCGCACCACATACAGTACCCAGCTGCAGAGCAGAGCAACTGGGCCACAGCCAAGGTTTGCAGTTCTTTTGTACTCCCCTTCCTCGACTTCTTCGTTGTGTGCTTTGTGTTTTTCTTATGCCTCTCTTCCCCCGTTCTACGCTTCTCCAGCAAGGCCTGAAGAGCTCGACACCTTCCGATCTCTCGCTCTTCTCTTCTTCGCTGCTTTGCGGGTGCCTCGGCCTGAGTGCTCGGAGCGGCTCGCAGCGCCACGCGATCGTGCACGACGGCCCAATCGCTGAATTCCCCTGCGGCCACATGCCGGAACATGCGGAGCTTGCCGGAGCCGAGCGAGCTTTCCGCCTTGCGGCGCCTCATCGAAGCCGGTCTCGTCCTCGGAACTGCCTCGCGTGCAGGGACTCTCGTAACACGTGAGCCAAGCGGGCCATAAAGGCATCCTGCCTGATCCGTCAGGCTCTGTGGGCAATGCTCGCGATGCTGGCTTTACATCATCTGTGCCAACCACCGAAGACGAAGCAAGAAACACTTGTCCTGAGGCGTCGGGAGAAAAAATTGGTATTGGTGAGACTGGCATGTGAGGTCACCAGAAACAGGTGTGATGACGTTCATGAAAGAACTTCAATGGTGTCATGCGACGCGACCGTCGAACGTTTCCATATCATGCTGTAGATTGGGTTCCGGTAACTTTGAGATGCTGTTTCAGTAACGACTCGGGACACTTTCATATCTTGTGCGCCTTGCTGACATGGCTGACAGTGCCCGAGAGGTCACGTTTCACAAGCTGTACGTGTGGACAATCAGCAATAAAGCTCGCAAGCGTGCTGCGTTCCTTGATCCGACCCTGACCCACCACAAGACTAGTGACATCTCGCTATCACGCAAGACTGAAACACTTTTGGAAGCGTAGCGGCAGGCGGCGAAGTGCAAACGAAATCGCATTCCAGATCGAAACATCTCAGACATCGATCGGAGCGAATCGTTGCGTATCACCCCACCACTCCAATATGTAAGAATAAATACAGGGTGGTGTGGGCGGGCTGAAAAGCTTGAAAGAACCTCGAGCGGGCAACAGCTGCGGTTGTCTGCTGTTGCCGCTCGTACATGTCACTCCGTGCACACGTGCACTACACGACATCTCGCTATCACGCAAGACTGAAACACTTTTGGAAGCGTAGCGGCAGGCGGCGAAGTGCAAACGAAATCGCATTCCAGATCGAAACATCTCAGACATCGATCGGAGCGAATCGTTGCGTATCACCATAGGTGTGCCGCCTGCACCATTAAAGCACACCGGTAGCCCTAAACCTCTCAGAGCCCGTCAGAAGCTCTTCGAAAAGACTGTCCCAATCTCGCTGTAGTTCGATCCAACCTTCGGCTCGAGCGTGGCGAAGATCACCGCGGCTGACGGAGTCGCTGACGTTGGCTGACGACGTAACACGCTGCCATGCTGGGCGAAAGGATTGTGCTTCCAAGAAGCGCCATGCATGTTGTAGCAAGCAGTTGATCGACTCATCCTTGCCAAAGCCTCGAGTGAGAGCGTGGCGTGCGGGTTCGTTGTCCACGAAGAGCATGACGTGTCGGTCGAGCTGGTCCTCCATGGCGAACAGAGGCAAGATCTGAGCCACGATCTCGAGCATGTATATGTATGCCCGGCGACTTGTGAATGCTCGCACGAACCAGTACGGTACTCTTCCGTGAGCGAAGTAGGTCTGTCCCTGAACGGTAACCACAAAGCCCCATCCGTTGCGGAGTGTCTCCGGGGGTGTCCTTCCCCAGTTGGGAATGTCCTCGTCGGAGGGTTTCCAGTCCTTGTCGAAGAGGTTGAAGAACGCGTCGGCGTAGAGGACCGAGTGCGCCTCTTTGTCGAAAGGAAAGACCTTGGGCGTTGCGTGCCGCAAGCTCCACCGTAACAGTCCGATCCCGTGGCGAAGCGGTCCATCGAGTCTCCAATCGCGATGATGACGACCAGCGCCTGTGAGTCGAGCTCTGCGAAACAGGGGCCGAAGAGCTGCAGCGTGCGAGCGACCTTGAAGTGACTGACAGTAAAACTGTAGTTTCCCCGCGAGGCTGGCAGCTTCGTGGGGTCTCAAGCGGTCCTGGGTGAGCACGTCCGCGAGCGCCTCGTCGAGCCTCTGTCGCCGCTCTTCTGTGCCCTGCACTGTGACGGACTCGTGGGACACAAGAATGTCGACGCCTTGGATGACCTGTCGCGGGGCCGGCGGTTTCTCCTTAGACTGCTTAAAAGAAAAACCCAAGGCTTTGCAAAGTCGACGCGAAGCGTCGAAGGAGGAGTTGGCGAGCGTGGTGACCTCTGCGCTGCCGAAATCATCGACAAAGTGTAGCGCGGGCGTGAAAATGCATGCGCGGCATAACCAGCCCATGAGGTCCGCTATTCTGCAATATGACCATACACTCGCCACTGACCCAAACATTAGAACTGTATGGCGCCAGAGAGTCACTCCTTCGGGCGTCGCGAGAACCACGTAGGTGTGCGACGGGTCGAGCGCTGGAAGCTGTCTGTAGGCCGACTCGTGATCAAGGCCCCATATGAGGATCTCGGCCTGCGGGTCGATCTCCTTGATGGCGCGAACCAGCTGCACGTAGGAGTTGACGTCGTGGTACGGCGGGGAGTCCTCCGCTGCGACCGTGGCGTTAGCGAAAGAACGTCTCCAGTCCTCGGCGCGGCGTACTTTGGGGCGGCCATCGGACCCGACCTGGTGGACTGCGAACGCGAAGCACGTCGGCTGGTGTTCGCCTGGGCCCTCGAGCAGCTTGCTTGTGTGCTCGTGCGATGCGAGCGGCACTGCGCTTTTGGGCCAGTCCGAAGGGCTGGTGAACGGGCCTTCCATGCGCCCGAGTGACACATCGGCGGCTATCTCGTCTGCCATCTGCTTCCAGCAGGGGTCGACGCGGCATCGACGAAGCTTGTCGACGACGTACTGTTTGTTCTTGACCATGAACTCCGCGAGGTCCAGAGGGTTGGCGTAGCGGTCGTCGTTGCGTCGTTTCCAGCCAAGTCCTGGAGCCAGAGGTCCTAGAAGTCGAAAACCATGTGTGAGCTCGTCGAAAATGCCAAGGTCCTGCCAACCAAACAGTTCACAGATTCTGCGGAGCGCGGGCAGCTGCAAGGTGCACACTCCTGTGGTGCTCCGGTAGGCCTTCTGTACGTGAGGGCGGAGGCTCTGGTACCAAGACCTGGTCTCGTCTTCCATGTCCACAACCATCTCTTCGACCTGTTCCACGACTGCGAGGCGTAGTTCTGCCAAGTGGGCACGCATCTGGAACCAAATGCGAATCCACTGTTGCAAACCGGGCTCCATGAGTGCGTCGCGGTGGTCCGGATGGGGCATGTGTCGTGACAACTTCCAGTGCTCCGCGGGGTCCTGCAGGTAGGAGAGGTCAAAGGAGTCGTAGTCGCCAGGTCCCGGGCCTAGGAGTGGCGGGCGACCTTGCCACAAACCAGCTGCTATGTCGAGTGCGGTTCCTCCTAGCGGGTTGAGCTCCTTGTCCGCCTTTGCGGGCGTCGCGGCAAACATGGCCATGATGAAGATCAGGCGCGCGGCTCCAGCGTGCCAGCCATTGGCTAGCGCTTTGTGGCGCTCGTGCTCGGAGAGCTTGCTGGTCCAACCTTGTGGCAAGTGATGCCATTGCTCCTTCACCGATGGTGGAGGAATCACGAAGCGGCCTTGACTGTCCGCCATCATGACGCCTGCTTCGTAATGCCAAGGAGCGAATCGTTGTCGATCGGCACGCCATCGTTGATTCGCTTCACTGCTGATCTTGCCCTTACAGCTGCGTGGAGCGGGGCGTCCTTGTGGGTCGTCTGAAGGTGTTGTGAGACACGGGAGCGGCTTGCCCTCCTCGACCAGGCACCTCGGCAAAGAAAGTCCTTCGGTCTTAAAAGCGTGCGGGTCGTCCTTGACGAGGTCGAAGTGCACTCGTGGGATGCCTTGCATAGTCGTCCACCGAATGCGAAGGGGACAATCGGGTCGATGGGCGATTTCCTGCCATGGCACCCTGCACCACCAGACTCTTGTCGGTATGGTGCCGAAGTCTGCGGCGTCATGGACCACGGCGGGCGAGTCGAGGGACTTCTCGATCTTGCGCATATCCGCTCTGTTCTGTGGGATGACGTTCTCCACCATGACGACGGCGCGGGGTCTTTGCCATCTCTTTTCCAAATCCACCACTAGCTGGGCGAATCGAGCGAACTTGGATCCCTCCGTACCTTGGTGACCAGGCGCGTCTGAGCGAATGCGTGAAAAGTCATGACATGGAGGGCCTCCTGCTATGACCACAGTCGCTCGTCCTGCGGGGTCCAGCTCCTGAACCAAGTCGTGCAAAGACTCGGGCGTCTCCTGGTCGAAGTCGCCACGTTGCACCACTTCAGGGAAGTGGTCGTGTAACAGCTTCTTCAAGTTGGGGTCGATCTTATAGGATGCGCCACGCCACTGGAGACCATTGCTGCTGCAGTACTCGTCGCAAATCAAACAAGCGGTGCCGAGGCCATCGAAGAAACTGAGCATGACGATGTCGGGCGGGCGATCGCCGTTCTTGATGCGGATGGTCTCGGCCTTGCGGCGGAGCGTCACTGGCTGGGGTAGCTTTTGCTTGTCGTCGTCGGGAGATCTTCGGGAGCGGGGCAATGGCGACCTCGAGCGAGCGAAAACTTGGCTGTCTTCGCTTTGCGGTGGGTCGGGTCCACCCCTGTGGGATGGCCCGTGCTGTCCCTATTCCTGCTGCTGCCATTGCCTGCGGCTGTCGTGCTGCTGTCGCCAATCAGTCTGGCGCCATTGCGATCTGTCGTCGTCGTGCTGGCGACCTTTGCCGTGACCTTGCCAGTGTGGGCGATCTTCCTCGTGTTGGCGACCGCGGCCTTGGTAGTGGTTCCACTGGCGATCGTATTGAGGTTGGTAGCGATGCTTTCCGCCACCCTTGCCATTCCCTTTGCCTTCCGAGCGCTCCCACCACCGCTGCTGGCCTTTGCCGTTTCGACCCTTGCCTCGGCCTCTGCCTCCACGAGGGATGTCGTGCCAAGGGGTCTCGGTGTTCCTTGGGGCGCGTGCGGGGCGATCTGGCTGAACTTCTGTGCTCATGGCCTCTTGGAGAAGCTGGCTGTCGGCCATGATCTCGTGCGCGATGTCCCTGAAAGGCTGCTTCTTGCGCAGCGCGAGAGCGATGCGCCACGATGTATTCTCCCAGTGGATCTTGAGCTGGTCGATCTTGTTGGGGCGGCTGCGCACCAGCCGCTGCCACCATGAAAAGTACTCGTCGATGTCGCTCTCCGGGGCGTACTCGATGAAGATCAGGGCGACGCGAATGGCCTCGAGGCAGTCGAGAATGGCTACCTGGCTCTTCGGCTTCCAAGGCGTCTCGGGTTCGGTCTCGAGCTGAAGGTCGGCGTTCACGACCAAAGTGGTGACCTGTTCCTGTGACCGGGCCCGTTTGCGAGCTGAGCTCAGGGTGTTGGGGAGGAGCGCCGCGGTGAAGTGCCTGTGCTGCACGATCTCCTCCAAGGGGATCGCGTTGTG